ACGCCCAAAACAGAGAGCAAACTTTAAATACCACCGTATCCGAAGGAGTTTGAAACTGCACTCGAAAAGCCCACTCAACCATTATAGAGATAGAGATTTAATTCGAACAAATATAAATTTCAGAATTTAGGAACGAAATCAATAATTCAACTATCTGTTGCTTTATAAAACGAAGGCGTTCATTCAGCTACCAAATTGACCTACGCTTTTGCGAGTTTGAGTAAACGGTACTCAAATATGAGTTGGTCTCATTTGCCATGAAGTATGTTTTGATGGCAGGATTGACTGCACGCTATTTCTAAATAATACTTTTATTAAATACTTTATAGTTTTGGAAGCATTGGGAGAAATCTTCCATTTTTGTAAATAAGAAGACCTAACCTTTTATGCAGTCTGCTGCAAATAATAGGAAGACTTCTTCCTTTAGAGGAAATCCCTGTGTCATCAGCGAATAAAGATTTGTGGCAACCCTGAGGAAAATCAGGGAGGTCCGAAGTGAAAATGATATACAATATAGGCCCACGAATGCTTCCCTGAGGAACTCCTGCTCTAACAGGTAGTCGATCAGATTTGGAATTTTTACCTGCAGAATTCTATCATTTAAATAATTTTGAACTATTTACATAATATAGAGTGGAAAATTAAACTTTTTCAATTTAGCAATCAAACCTTCATGCCAAACACTGTCGAATGCTTTTTCTATGTCTAGAAGAGCAACTCCAGTTGAGAAGCCTTCAGATTTGTTTGAACGAATTAAATTGGTCTCTTAAGAGTTGATGAGTAGTTGAATACCCATGGCGAAATCCAAACTGCTCATCGTCAAAAACTGAGTTCGTATTGATGATAAGCATCATTCTATTTGAAATTATCTTTTCAAAAAGTTTACTTATTGAAGAAAGCAAACTTATTGGACGGTAGCTAGAAGCTTCAGCTGGATTTTTATCCGGCTTCAAAATTGGAAAAACTTTTGCATTTTTCCATTTATCAGGAAAGTATGCCAAATGGAAACAACTGTTTAATAATTTTACAACGAATTGATTAGGATATAGAAAATTCCATCATCACCTGGAGCTTTCATATTATGAAACTTTTTAGCTATAGATCTTGCTTCGTCCAAATCAGTCCCCCAGGAATCATCAAAAATATATTCCCAAGAGAAAATATTCAAATAATCCCGAGCAACCTGATTCTCAAGAGGACTAGTAAGACCCAAACTGAATTAGCAAGTTTCTGAGCTTTTTCCGAATTTGTGATCACAATTTTACCACCTTCTTTAAGCGCTGGAATAGACTTTTGAGGTTTTTTATTTTTTTTTGTGAGTTTCCAAAATGGTTTGGAACTCGGGTCTAATTTATTTGTTTATTTGTTTATTTGTTATGGTTGCATCAACAGACTAGAAATAGTCCCAATGATGTATTGTAAAAAAATTACAGATTATACAGACGACATACATATACTACATTTACTACAGTTACAAACGAAAATAACTAGGAAAGCATTGTCAAGTTGCTAAACATTTATAAGTCTTAAATTTTACACCTAGCTGTTGGGCATCAAGCGCCTTCGGTCAGCAAAAAAGGCAGAGAATCTTCGGCGAAGCATATTCCGTGTCAAGTGGAAATCGAACATCGACGCTACTCGGTTGAACACTAGCCTCGACACTAGCTGCAAACCGTAAATAGCGCTCCCTATGCTATAATTAGTTCGAAGAAGTGGAAGTCTCAGCATAAGACTGTTGCGTAGTGATCGAGGTTGAACATTATGTTCACTTGTTGCAGAATTGCTTCGCAGTCGATTCTAATTTAGAAACATTATTTTCAAAAGTTTTGTTCCTCAGAACAGAGAATCGCTTTTTAATTTGTTTTTGCAAAACCCGCCAGATAACTTTCATGGCAGGATCGCGTGTTCTTTGATATTGTCTGCTACGGACATTTTTAAGACGGATCATGAGCTGAAGATCGTCGTCTATTATAATTGAATAGAATTTAACCTCGCATTTCGGTACTGAGGCAGCTCTTGCTTCAACTATAGAAGTAGTCAGAGATTCAAGAGCATAATTAATTTCAACTTTGGTTTGCAAAGGAATGTTTGGATCGAAGTTGTATTCCATAAATGTTCGATATTGCTCCCAATCATTTTTTTTTTCTTCGCATGTCATGCTTATTGCATATCGCATATTAGCTTATTGCGTGCTCTCAACTTAGTGTTCTAGATGCACTTCCACAGTTATTAATTGAGAGCTTTCGATGCCTGTACCATTTTTGCATTGATATGATTGATTGTGTGGCAAGTCCAATCATACTTCTATACCCAGGGAAGTCGAGAAATTTTCAAACCCGAAAAATTCCTAGACCGGACCGGGAGTCGAACCCAGCCACCTCCAGCATGGTCTTGCTTTGTAGCTGCGCCTTTATCGACTGAGCTAAGGGAGGCTCCCAATCAGCTCTATGGTAATTGAAAGTAGAGTTGTTGGGATTAGAAATTATTTCTTGGGATATTTCAAAAGTTATTGGAAGGTGATCAGAACCGACGTCAGCATGGGTAACCAATTGGCTACAAAGTTGAAATTAATCAGTTAAGACCAAATCAATAGTTGAGGGATTTCTTGCTGAAGAAAATCATGTTGGGCTATTTGGATATTGAATAGTGTAATAACCTGTAGAACAATCATCAAACAGAATATTACCATTGGAATTGCTTTGAACATTATTCCATGAGAGGTGTTTTGCATTGAAGAATTTAGACCTATGACGGGTAAGTTTCTGAAGGTCACCCTTGAGAAAATTCTTTTGTTGCCCTACGAATTAGGATGGCAAATAGGCAACATAAGTTGTCCTAATTTTGTTTCAACAAAAACTCCCAAAGTTTCAAAATCTTTGGTTTCAAATGAAGAAAGTATTTTATATTTGATTCGTCTATGAACGATGATGGCAACCCGAGCAAAGTCGGTTAGCAAAATTAAAGCAAATCGATATTAAACTTTGCAGTTCCTATCATAATGAAAACTCATTTTGATTTAAATTGTCGCGACAGAAGTCTGATATCATAGTGTGCTTTCATTATGCAGTCAAGACTTTTTAAATGAAAGCAACTTAATTTGAAGTTCTGCTGTTAACTGTCTTGCTTAAAATTTAAATTAAGTTCATCTGTTTATTTGTTTTGTTTAACACATTTTAGGTTATTCGTGACTTGGCCGGGGTAAGATTTGAGTTCAAGTCTTCCAGCGGGAGAAGCATGGATGCTAACCATTTACGCCAGGCTCGTATTCAGTTATACATTATTAATGCAAAATCAGTAATCAAATTGATTTAATTGAAAGCAGGATTAGTTTTCCGTTTGATTCGACAGTGTAAAATGTTGCTCTCATTTTTGCTGTGTTAACCGTTAAGTCAACCAAAATGATATCAACTGGAGTATTCAAAATAAGTTACATCATAACAGCAAATTTTGATTTCAATTTGATCTCCAGCTTTGCTCGAGAACGCCATCAAGACGATCATGTCTATAAATGAAATAAGTTGCGTCCCTTTTAACCTTATGGCCAGGTTTAAGGAACGTTTCAATTATAACGGCAATATGCACGTTATGAACTCTGAAAAAGTTAACTAGCTCGTCTGCATTATCTTCATCATTATCACAGCATTCCAATTCAAAACGTTTAATGATTTAAAATCCATTACTGAATTTCAAAGTCATGACAATCTTCTTATTCGCATTTCAAGCTTATTGCGTATGGCATTATTAGCTTATTGCGTACTCTCAACTTAGTGTTCTAGATGCGCTTCCACAGTTATTTTGAGAGCTTTCGATGCCTGTACCATTTTTGCATTAGTATAATTGTGTGGCAGGTACAATCATACTCTATGCCCAGGGAAGTCGAGAAATTTTCCAACCCGAAAAATTCCTAGACCGGACCGGGAATCGAACCCAGCCACCTCCAGCATGGTCTTGCTTTGTAGCTGCGCCTTTACCGACTGAGCTAAGGGAGGCCCCATGACAATATTGTTCGCAAATTTTACTTCAGTTCGAATAGCATCAAACATGCAGTTAGTTTTAAGCAGATCAGTAATCACGTCAATTAATGGTTTCTGTAAAAATTCCATTTTAGGAGCTAGCAGTAATGCTTCCTAAGTTTAAAATTTCCGTTAGAATTACGTTGCAATAGCATCATAGGTAGCTCCATTTACTCGCTGAACATTGTTAACAACGAGATGAGCAAGTCCTTTGCGTTAGAGGAATCACCACAATTCATGCATTTAGCTGGCATGTAGCAATTTTTAGTTCCGTGACCCCATCCCTGGCACTTACGGCACAGGGTGAGGTTTTGGAAATTTCCTCCAGTCTTCCTGAAGTGTTCCCACTTCACTCGGACATGGAGCATAAGGCTGTAAGGCCTTAAGATTGTTTAGTTCACTAGACTTGAAGTGAACTAAATAAAAATCATTAGAAATTCCGTTGCGCGAATCGCCAGGACGGGATTTTATTTTCATTTTGATTAATTGGACTGGCACAACTCCAAGTAATTTTTCCAGTTCATCTTTGATCTGATCCAGGGATTTTTCCAGACATTTTCAGCACAAATTTGGCACGATACACAAATTACGTAGCGCAAAAATTTCGGATTCCCCCTGTCACAATAAATAACGCTTGACAAGACTCCCCCTAAAATTACGCAACGCTACTTTACTGTTTTTGATTTTTTTTTTCATTGGTTATTCTGTTACGGAACATTTATCGTCAACCTCCTCCTCCAATGTAACAATAACTAACACAATATCGATCCCCATACCCTCCATGCGTTGCGTAATTGTGTTCAATCTTCTCTCTATAGATAGAAATGGAAATGGGATTCGTATGTAACACTATAACTTGAGAACGAATTGACGGATTTGCAAGATTCCTTTTTTTTTGTGTTCATCTTGGACCCCGTCGTTTGCAGGAACAGATAGTTTAAAATAAATTTGTCGTAGGTAATTTTGTTATGTATGGCTATGTCTGTGAGATGGTTATATAGAAATTTGAACAAACAACTTACAAATAGATGAGACCTTCGAGCGCCAGACGTTCCATTTCTTGTGGTGATAGTGAACACAGCCGCGTAAACGAAAAAGTGTTGTTTATGTTCAAATCTTCGATGCATGAGTAATTCACTGTCGGTCTATAAGGAAACACGGTTCTATGGACATTTTCACTTTTGAATATGCTGAACTTATTGAACAGCAAATGTCGTTTGCTGGGAAACACTCTGTTCAGAAGAGCTTCATCGAAAATCAACCTAGCTAACGGGTATTCGACAGTCCGACAGAAAAATGGACTTTTGGCATCGCGTCGTTCAAACAACTCCGGATGATTACACACCTTACGAAACTGCATCACCAGGTTCATCAGATTAGACGTAAAATTCTTATCAAACGAATGGCCATCGCCCGTTCCATGCCCGGTGAGATGCAGTAAGTCTTCTATTCTGATTTTCTTTTTTAGTGCGACGTACAGAAGCTTTTGTCGTGTGGTTAGTGGACAATAGACCATTATTTCGATCTTGTCGGAGAGTTCGTTTTCAACATCTTTTTTTATACGTCTCAGCATGAACGGTTTCAGTATCATGTGCAGGCGGGATATTTGCTCTGAAAAGAAATTTAAAAATTAATGCATTGCAAAATTAAAATTGTTCAAGACATACTTTCATCAATTCCGGTCTTGTTTTCAGCGTGACTTTCAATATCTTTAGAGAACCATTCATTAAACTCCTCGTGCGAATCGAATAAGGTTGGCATAATAAAGTGTAACAAGGCCCAAAGCTCAGCCATGCTGTTTTGAATCGGTGTACCGCTTAGCAACAAACGATTTCGGCAGTTAAATCCCAGCAGAAGTTTCCAACGAACCGAACTTGAACTTTTTATTGCTTGTGCTTCATCTAGAACCATGTATTGCCATTTGATACGGTTGAAATACTTATAGTCAGAGACTACCAGCTGGTAACTGGTAATCACCACGTGAAAGCTAGCATCTTTCGTATGGAGATCTTTTTGTTCCCAAAATTGACGTAATATTTTCCGTTCATTCGGAGATCCCCAATACGGTACAACGTTGAAATCCGGCACGAATCGTTCCATCTCTTGTTGCCAGTTGTGGAGCGTTGAAGCAGGTGAGATTATAAGGAACGGGCCCCACACACCGTAGCTTTCGGCTATATGACACAGGAAAGCTATCGATTGAACCGTTTTTCCCAATCCCATTTCATCGGCAAGGATTCCACTGATGCCCTGGTCGTAGAGATTTGCTAACCATGTCATCCCTTTCAACTGATAGCCTTTCAAACATCCACGAAAAATGGCTGGTTGTGGTAAATCAATTATCATTCCGGATTCATCAACCTTTTGATTGGTTGGAATATGTTGTCGAACAGCGCTATCAAATTGCAGTTTTCGGGCCCGTTCGCTATTAAATGCATCCACTGCATTTTTTTGAGCTTGATGCTTCATTAATTCACTATCGTAGCTATCGATAGCTGCTAATCTGGGGTTGGATTCTTCGTCGAGCTGGGATAGAATTTTTAACTGTTCCTCCTTCGATACATTACCCAGCTTTTTAGACATGAAATGTGCATATAATTCCGTCTGTGTTATAAGAAAATTGAGTTTTCTCTGTTGCCGTTTAGCTTCAACCATCTCAACGTCTATTTTGCGTTGTTCTTCAGCTTCCTTCTCCATACGTCGCCGTGTTTCCCTTTCTACACGATCGTATCGTTTCCAGTAACCTTGCATCTCTCGAGTCAATCGTTTTGCTTTCCAAATTGTTTCCTTCATCAATTTTTGTGATTGCATTGCTTTCTGGCGTGAAACTTTCATGCACAGCGAAGCAACACGCCGGCAGTTGGTGACCATGTCTTTGTGATTGTTCACCTTTGCACGCTGCACCTTCCCAAGCTCTTTCTTGGCCATTAACTGCCATATTTTACGCCGTCTAGCTGCCATCATTTCTGGCGTTTTTATGGAAGATTTACGTCCCCGTTTGTACTTCACTCCCGTTGGACTCGTTGGCTTTGAATCGATATAGTCATCGTTTTTCAAAGCTGCTAGCTGTTCCTCCCAATCGATGTCCCCAATATCAGAAACTCGATCATCAGTCTCATTTCTTATCTATAAAGAGAAAACATATCCTTGAAGCAATAGTTAATATTTGTTTTTTTTTTTAGTAGCCTGCACTTACAGCTTTCTTCCTTCCTAATTTCAATTTGCCCAGCTTTTTTTCACGTTTCATTTTACGTTTACGGATCCCAACTATTGATCGTTGATGTTCGGGAAACATGTCATAATTTGACAGAAGACCTGCTCCATAGTAACCGTATTGAGAATTCTGTAAAATGAAAGCATTATCTTATTGGGGAACAATAGAATAAACATAGGAACCGCGAATCTTACATTCAAGGTACTATAATATTTTCCTCGGTATTTTCTTTCGCTCAAATGACTTTTTAGCATTTCTTTGATGTGACTATCCTCGTCAGAAATTTCACTTTCCGTCTCGGTATCGGAGAGGAGCAAATTTTGAATACAGAGACGTTCCGGACCAACGGAGGTCAAATTATAAAGATAACGTTTGTCTTCGTTACGTTCTGAAAATGATGATTAGTTTTACCAATTAACAAGAAAAGTAAATAAAACATTATTAATCTAGTTACCTTGCTTTGAAACTTTTACACCGTATGCCAACTTCCGATAATTGCGGATGTTTCCATTGGATGAATCCGAATCGGAATCACTGCTACAGGAATCATCGTTATCTTCATCCTCGCTGCTGGTTAAAGGCTTTGCTAACATTTTCTTTGCATAAGCCAGGAATGGCCGCATGTCAAGAGCTGCCTCTAGGCGCTGAATGTGCAGTGGTATAGCCATTAGCTGTTCACCAAAATTTCCACCAAGATGAATGTTGTTTTCAGCCATTTTGGCACCGCAATGACCGCAATACGCAACAATTCACTGCGAACGAGCTGATCGATTACTTTCGTTAAATGCTTTTCAATTAGATGAACTGATATGTAGTTATAATGTCTTGTAAATTCTGGATTAGTTTGCGATTTTATGTTGTGCGTTTAGCAGAATCAATGAAATATCCTAGCGTTTAGAATCATAACGGCCCAACTGCGATGACGGATTCTCTTATATACACTAGAAATACTCAGAGGGAGAGATGGGCGGAGAGAATGTTTTGAGCAGCGCTGCCATTTATACAGATTTATCTGTATTATACAGATTTTTTAATCTTAATACAGACCCGATACAGAATACAGATTTATCACAGATTTTTAAATTACAATACAGATTTATACAGATTTTTATAAAATGCTTGAGAAAAAAAAAATCAAAATTTATAAAAACAAAATAAAACAAAATAACTCGATTTTATCAGCGTACCCCCTTCTCTCCAATTGATAAGAATAATAATAATAATAAGAAATTGCGGATGTTCTGATATTCTCCATACTGCAAAAATGATTTTACCAGCACTGGCGGGGCGATATCTCTCGATTTTTCGGTGTAACTACCACACAAATGATGTAATTAATCGTATTCATCTATATTAAAAATATCAAATAGTAATGAACTCGTGCACTTTTTTGCATTTAAAACTGCTTATCAGGAAGATAATGAATAGAAACTAAAATCTCCATACATTTTCAAACGGCTTCATATCACTCTTATAAATAAGTACGGACGATATCACAAATGGTGCAATTATATCCCGTATGGTTAGTACGATAGCCCGAATAGGTGGTTAAGCAATTTTTATGGTTATTTTGTATGCACTGTATTTGTAAAACAACAAAACATGATTAAATAAGAAAAAAATCGTCAATACAGAAAATACAGATTTTTTAATAGAGTGGATACAGATTTTTTATAAAACCACCTGGCAGCTCTGGTTTTGAGCCAAATGAACTGTCAAAATCTGAGCCAATCGATCATTCCAATTGGGAGATTGCCGTAAAAGCTCAACGCAGATGTCACCACTGCATGATGATGATAATGTTGACAGATTACATATAAAATTTGTGAAAATTAGCATTAAATCATAATTGTCATCAAGCCTGCGTAAAATCCTTCCAATATAACATTCGAATTGAAGAAGAAAACGTCTTCACAATCAGGCTGATGTGCATTTTTGACTTTTCCAGATGAACTTTCATAAGATATATTCATTTCATTTTATGGCTCCATTAATGCTGCATCGTTAATATGATGTAAACAGAAGTAAATTGCTCAATTACTCAAAATAAAGATGATTTGTCATCTTGTTATCACTTTGCAAACCATCTAGCACCATTTTATAGTATGATGCGTGTTGAGTACATCAAGTTCCGTTACGTTTTCCGTCGAAAATTGTGAGAATCAATATGTTTGCCTTTAAAAGGCCAAAATGAACATTTATTGAACATTGGCGTCCTATAAAACCAATTCTCCATTACCACCAGCATGATACAACCTTTCCTAAGTAAATTCTGTTAATTTCCACTTTCATCTTAGTGGAAATCGCACATATTCACCATTTTCCGAAAAATGCAGCTGCGCAGGAAGTAACCTCTCCCTGTGGGTGCAAACTTGTTATGCATAATTTTCCATGAAAACGTCTCCGATCCATACCGAAATAAGAACAGTTAGTTTTCAAACACGTTTTCTTACACGATTCAAGCAAAAGTTTCCACCGGAAATTATTAGTTTTTCTTTATGTACCGATTTACCCCAAAAATCGTCTGTTTTACTTGGAGAATTTGGAAACTATCATGTTGCTATCATCCTTCTAGAAGTTCTCACTTCGAAATGTAGGTGGCGAAAGCTTGAAAAAGTTTCACTGCAAGACGCCGATTTTTGGGGCAAATCGGTACATAAAGAAAAACTAATAATTTCCGGTGGAAACTTTTGCTTAAATCGTGTAAGAAAACGTGTTTGCAAACTAACTGTTATTATTTCGGTATAGATCGGAGATGTTTTCATGGTAAATTATGCATAACAAGTTTGCACCCACAGGTAGAGGTTACCTCCTGCGCAGCTGCATTTTTCGGAAAATGGTGAATATGTGCGATTTCCACTAGGATGAAAGTGGAAATTAAGCGAATTTACTTAGGAAAGATTGTATCATGCTGGTGATAATGGAGAAATGGTTGAAGAGGACGCCAATATTCAATAAATGTTCATTTTGGCCTTTTATAGGTAAACATTGATACTCACAATTTTCGACGGAAAACGCAACGGAACTTGATTTACTCAACACGCACCATACTGTAAAATGGTACTCGATGGTTTATAAAGTGATAACAAGATGATAAATCATCTTTATTTTGAGTAATTGAGCAATTTACTTCTGTTTACATCATATGTACGATGCAGCATTGAGGGAGCTGTGAAATTAAATGAATATATCTTATGAAAGTTCATCTGGAAAAGTCAAAGATGCACATCAGTCTGATCGTGAAAACGTTTTCTTCTTCAATTCGAATGTTATATTGGAAGGATTTTACGCAGGCTTGATAAAAATTATGATTTAATGCTAATTTTCACGAATTTTATATGCAGTCTGTTAACATTATCATCATTATGCAGTGGCGACATCTGCGTCGAGCTTTTACGGCAATCTTCCACACTGAACGAATTTGAGTCTAATAACTTTGCGCTATAAGATAATCCATTGAAAATGATATGATTGAAAATGTGTCAGGTAAATTCTGTATGAATATCTGATACATTTACAATGCTGATAATTTGGTAACTTTTATATGATCGTCATATGATAAATGAAAATCGATCAAATTATAATAATTAACTGAAATGGATTTGAAACCCATAAGCATAAGCTATACTTTTCACCACAATATAATATATGTGTTATAAATCAATCGAAGTAAAGTTTATGTGAAAATAACATGAAATTTACTTCTTCTTTTGACACATATATTTAATCGATTTCTAAAAATAAATTCGAAAAAATAAACATCAGGCAGTGGGAGCTTTCACAGTTGTGCCTTTTTTTATTGTAGCTGATTTGGGATTCGATCAAGAACTGTTGAGGTGTGATGCTTTCGGTGTCTGTGCTCGATTCCACTGGGCCACGGCTGACTTCAAGATTGAGCTCGTTCAAATAGCATGAAGTAAGGACAGCTCTCCCGACATGGAATGTAGTGCAACTTTATGCTCGTTTTGCTAGAGTGAAGACAAATAGCACTGTTCCGTTTCGGTGGTGTGGTTTGTTCAAATCTTTCTTAATGCACCTGTGTGCAATAAATCAACGACTAAATTATATGATTTGATAGAACTGGCTCATGAAGTTCGAGTACTACTTAGGGCTGCAATCTGAATTAGCCGTGTAGAAGGCTTACAATTAAAATCATAGCAAAGTAAATATTACAGTAGAATCATTTTTTTTTTTCAATCTCAATACATTCTTTTCTGGAACCAATTATCATATGAATGAGTGTACGTTAACATCGTTGAAAATTGTTTCAATAATTTATAAAGAACAATCATGTAAGATGTATTTTATTGGGAGCGATATTCATCCCAGAAAAACATGCAAAAACAAATGCTTGGTGTTGGATTTCTTAAAAGGCATTTCTATATGACTATTTAATGATTGGGATAGATCTGTTTACAATCTTTAAACGTCAAAAATCAAAGCAAGCTATTACAATGAGATATACATGTTTTCCTATACTGCAAAGTTAAATGACAGTCCAATAGTTTCTACATGTCTATTTACACGCGACATATCAACAAACGTCAAAAATCAGTAAAAGCAACTCCAATAAAATATACATGATTATCTTATAAGATATATATTTTAGTGAGCAATATTCATCATGAAAACAGGTATATTTTACTGAATTTTCTCATAGTGCAAACTTATATGATTTTCCATTAGTTTCTAGATGTCTGTTCCCACCCATGACATATCAACAGTTTTTCACCATGAAATATATCAGACAATATTCATATACTTCTTACCTTCGCTAACCACGTTCGAAGCAAAGTATTATCAAGTACTAAGTATGTGAAATTACGATAGAAATCATTCCATATCGCAGTCATAGTTTTTAAGTGATAATCCAATGGAATCTATCAATCATCACATAGAATGAATAAATCTGCTGACATTGCTATGTTATAAGATGGATCCAATAAACGGTACATGTCGATTTGTTTCAGTGCAGTCTTGCAGGGAAACTTTTCCAAGCTTTCGCCACCTACATTTCGAAGTGAGAACTACTAGAAGGAGGATAGTTTCCAAATTTTCCAAGTAAAACAGACGATTTTTGGGGCAAATCGGTCCATAAAGAAAAACTAATAATTTCTCGTGGAAACTTTTGTTTGAATCGCGTAAGAAAACGTGTTTGAAAACTAATTGTTTTTATTTCGGTATGGATCGGAGAGGTTTTCATGGAAAATAATGCATAACAAGTTTGCACCCACAGCGAGAGGTTACCTCCTGCGCAGCTGCATTTTTCGGAAAATGGTGAATATGTGCGATTTCCACTAAGATGAAAGTGGAAATTAAGTTTATTTCCTTATGAAAGGTTCCCGCATAAACGCGAACCATCACATGACCTTACCGATAATGGTTATAAATTGTTTATAATCCCTGCTAAACTTCAACTGAAATGGTTATGGAACTTTACATGAACGTTTGTGTGATAAAGTTTTAACCTTATGTATTATGGTTTTTCGGAAGCGGACCTTACAAATAATGGGTTGTTAAGAACCATTACCATTCCAAATTCTTGTTTTCTCCATACATTTTCGGAAAGAGAACTATATTAGAACGTTTTTACTTATGGTTTGAGAACATTAATGGTTATGGTTATGGTAGTCAGTAAGGTCCATTAATGGTTTTGTATTATCGCTCAACTTTACGTGAAATATATCGTGAATTGGTAATCAGTAATTTACAGGCAACCAATTCGCGATATATTCCACATAAAGTTGATCGATGTTACAAAACCATTCATGGACCTTACTGGTTACCATAACCATTACCATTAATGTTCTCAAACCATAAGTTAAAAGGTTTTAGTATAGTTTTCTTTCCGAAAATGTATGGAGAAAACAAGAATTTTGAATGGTAATGGTTCTTAACAACCCATT